GTATAAATGTTTAAAAAAAGAAAGAAAACAATTTAACAACAAAATGTTAACCAACAGCTAATGTTTGGTATATTTACAAAAAAAAACTTTCCAACTGTATACAGTGTATTGTGATTGCTTTCATCACCTGCATGCACATCTTCATTTGCTTACACCTCCTACTTTTTTGAATGTCCTTCTGATGGGTGTAAGTCCTACTGTATATATGTTCTGTTTTTGGGTGATGAATAAAATATTGTGTGGCTAGTGGCCAATAGGGAAGCACAATAGGCAGGTCTAGGAGGTGAGGAGAATTCTGGGAAGTATGGCCAGACAGAGTCTTGATGCTGCCGTAGGAGTAATACCATGCCAGGCTTTACTGGGTAAGTCACAGTCTTGTGGCAATACAGAAATTGATAGAAATGGCTTAAGAATTAAGACAGAGCTAGCCAATAAGAAGCCCTATTCATCGACCAACATTTCATAATTAATATAAGTCTTGTGTGCTTATTTGGTTTGGGGTTGACACAGCTATGGGACTAGGATGGAGGGAAAGAGCACATGTAGCATTCTTAAATGGATATATTTTGCAAAAACCAAACCAGCATCTGGAAAGAGAGTTCATTACTTTGCCCATCAGTGGATTTCTATTCCCAACTCCCAGGTAGGGTTGCTCCCAGATGTGTGTTACTCCAGTTTCAGGGGATCCAGTGTCATCTTCCTCCTGCAAGTACTGGACTCACACGCATATTTCCACACACAGATACACAGTTGTGTGCATAATTAATAAAATACAATATTTCAATAAATCACACTAATTTTTCAAATGGGAAATTCCAACTTGCTGTGGCTTTGAGATGTATTTCCCTAATTCCTGCTGATACTTAATATATTTTTGTATATTTGTCCTACATTTTGGCATCTTCCTTGATGATCTTGATGGGGTTTATCTGTGACTAAGAGCAATTTGTCTTACTTTTTCGGTCTTCTTCCTCTTATTTTTGTTTTCCTGTCTCATTGTGATGACAAGGACTGTACTGTTTTTATTCAGGAGTGTAAGATGCTCACTGTGACCTGGGAGGTTGTTATCATTTATCAAGGGTATCAGTTAAGATTCCCTTAGGTGCTAAAACAGCATCAAACTTTAATGCTTCTGAATTCATTTCTTGCTCTGTGGCAGGCTGTCTTGGTGCTGGTGCTGATGACATTCTCTTGCACATAATCCCGCAGTATCTTCTACCTTTTGGGACTAAGTCCTCAGAGTCCAGTCAATTTAGCTGCAGATGGCAGACAGAGTACATCAATCACAAGGCAGAGTTTTATGGTCAAAATATGGAAATACTGCACATCTCTTGCATTCTAATTTCACCTCATGGTCATGTCTAGCTGCAGTAGAGTCCCAATAGGATTGTTATTACCCAAATAGGCCATCTAGTTCTCCCATAGCACCTTGAGAAAAGCAACCTTCTAGGCTTCTGTTTCTGTTTTTGGATGATTCTGTAGTTTTCTTCTTTTTGTCTTCAGCTTGAGTCTTCAGGGAGAACACTGGGTGCTCTTCACTGCTGAGTCATCCCTGCAGCTGTCACCAGTCTGTAACTTTTGTGTCTGTGTTCAACAATGACCCTGGCCAGCAATATACATTTCTCATAATGTCTTTATTTGATTTTGTTGCCACTGCAGTAAAGTCCCACTAGGCCTATGTTCTCATTCATGTTTTTCTTGGAATTAATTTTATATAAATATGTTGTAATTTTGCAAGATATAGCAAAGTGTACTAGCATCAGCCAAACCTGAGACTTCATTTCCATTCCTGAAAGCCAAGTGGTAGAAAGAAAGAACTAGCTTTTGAAGGTTATCTTAACTTTCAGAATAAACACGTTTGAGTTTTACAAATCTTAATTGTGTGTTTCAATGTGCTTTGAAAATTTGTTTGGTCTGATTATTTATTGTAAGCCAGAGCACAAACTGTTGGCTCTGGAGTTATTCTCCAACATGATTCTTTCTATCTCTACTCTCACAAAATGACTGCTCTTTTCACATACAGTCTTGTTACTGAGTGTCTCTAGAAACATCCATTTTCCATGTCTTAGGATGGAAAGCAGGGGTTTGTGTGTAATAAGTATTTGATTTTGGACTTTTCAGCAGCTCCTGAGGTTCCTGAGGCTAGAAGTAGTCAGAGGATTTGTGACTTGCTAGCAGAATGTCTGCCAAAGCACATTGTGTCCAGAGCAGCCTTTCAAAGTATTATCTCTCTCAGTGCCTTTGCTCTTAAAAGCCTTCTACAGGTGGCCTCCCATCCCACCCTGGAGCTGCCAATGATGGATCTTTCCTTAAGGAGAGTACTTTTGTAAAACTCTGTCTCTGAATAGCTCACTTATAAAATGCATGTTGTCTGTAATTACATTGTTTTGCTCTGGAGATTGAAACCATCTAAAACCCTTGTGTATCATTGGCTTTTATTTTGCCTTCTGTATTTGCTGGTAGTTAATTTAATGTTTTATTTATTTATTTAATTATCTGTAAGACAATTAGATATGGTGAGGTGAGCATGTGTTTACTTCCCCCAAAATTATGAGGACTCTGAATAAACCAGAAGTGTTTGACCTATTTATTTTTCTAGGTATCATCCCATAAAATATTTTTATTGAGCAATCTGACATAGAGCACCAAAATCTTTTTGGTTTAACTTCTGAATCTTTTCTGTAATTTTCCTTTCAACTTAAATATTAGAAGCGGAGGAGATACTTTTAAAGAAACATTTGTCTAACTGAAATGAGTAGGGGGTCACAGGCATAACCTCCAGCTTCCATTTCTGCAGTGCCTGCTTTGGCTAACAGTAGAATTCTAAGACCGCTCATGTCAGATAAGTCTTCCCCCAACTTTACTTACTCTTTTCCACAGAAGAGACCTCACACTAACAAATAGACTCATAAAAAGTCTTCTGCTGCAGGAAAATATAATTGCAACACAGGAGAAGGGAAGAATTACGAATTTAGATATCAACGTTCTGTAAGTGTTTCAATAATGAATTAATGTAATTTGGAGAGAGAATGTAAGATAAGGAATATGTGGCATTTAAAGTCTGAAGTAGGTCGCACAGCTTGTATTGAACTTTTTAAGAACTTATCAGCTAGTTTAACAGAGAAACAGATTCTTTCTTGTGTTATTCAATAATTAAGAAATGAGTAGCACATTCCAAATAGATCATCTTAGAGAACAAGCGATTCTAAAAAATATATATATAATGTACGAATCAGAAATTTACACACTTCAAAAATTCAAAGACAAATCGCATGTTTATGTGGAACCATACAATGATAAACTGACCTTTCTGTAATGAATTATGGTACCCCTCTGTGTGTGTGTGTGTGTGTGTGTGTGTGTGTGCACACGCGCGCGCGCATGTCTCTGTGTCAGACCTTTAAGGGAATTTCTTTTTAAAGCTACAGGTAATGCACAGAGAGAAGAAGATAGAATGAAGGAAGAAAATAGAAGAGGGAGAGGAAGAGATGCAGAGATTCACTGAAAGATTTTGTGAGAGAGAGAGAGAAGAGAGAGAGAGAGAGAGAGAGAGAGAGAGAGAGAGAAGGAAAGCTCCAACTAAACTCATGCCTATGTCTGTTAAGTTCAAAGTTAGGAATCCATGGTGCTTGCCAGTTATAGAATGTGATAACATTGTCATTCCTCATCTTCTAAGTCATTCAGACACTGTCCTAGGTTTTGGATATCGGAGTGGAAAAAATTCAGATATATAATGAATATTGAGCCCTGTGGAAAGGTATAATTAGTAAGTTGGAACTATCACAGCTGTTATTTTTCTTTCATTTTTCCTACCTCCATATCAAAATCATTTATGTTTCAAACAGGAAACTTGGAAGGAACACTGTGTCACACACAATATAAATGTTTTACAAATATTCTTCTTTTCTTATAGTGTATCCATGAAAAAAAGATTGTTTTGGTATTAGCATATGGAGGTTTGGCTGTTGTTCAATACTCTATTATGCAACATGTGTCTCAATAGAGCCCAGTGAAAATCACAATGTTCATATCAAGTGCTAAGAGAGACAATAACCAAGTATACCCTTATTGATGGCTACCAGTTGCTTTCTTTATAAGAAGAGCGATATGGGCCAGTAGGATGGCTCAGTGAGTAAACTTTCTGTCAAGGCTGAACCTGAGTTCAACCACTGACCCACACACAAAAGAAGGAGAGAATTGACTCTGACAAGCTGTAGTCTGAACTCCATGTGTGCCATGGCGCAGTACACAAACACACACACACACACACACACACACACACACACACACACACCACACACAAACATACACAGAGGCACACACATGAGCAAATGAATATATAAAAATTCTATAAATAAATAAATAAAAGAGATAATCACTGAATAACAGTGCCATAGACTAAGTAGTCCTCACTCAAAATAATTGGAACCAGAAATATTCCAGGCTTCATATTATTTCTGAATTTGGGGACATTTGCATATGTATAATGAGATGGTTTAGCAATGGATCTTGCAATGGTCTGTACTGATTGCTCACTTGACAGGATGAAGAATTACCTAGATTACAAACCATTGGGTTTGTAAGGGAGGGATTTCTAGATTTCATCAATCAAAGTAGGGAGACCTACTCTAAATATGGGCAGCATCATTACACAGGCTGGGACTTTGGATCAAATTTAAAGGAAACAGTGAGCTGAACACCAATGTTCCTTACTCTCTGCTTCCTGACTACACATGAAATGGGACCATTTGCCTCATGTTCTTGCTAGCAGGCCTTCTGTATCATGATAGATTATACACTCAAACTGTGAGCCCAAATAAGCCTTCTCTTGCATTTCCTTTGCTAAATTGATCATGACAACAAGAAAAGTAGCTAATAAAGGGCCAAAATTTTAACATAAACCTAATTTATAATTCAAGTGTTGTATGCTTATATCACAAAGATAGCTTTATACAGTAATTCAAGAAATTATGTATATGTAGCAAAGTTTGAGTACTCACAGAAGCTTTGGTTGAAAGCATTTTGCATTTTATATTTCTAAATTGTGTCTTCTCAACTAGAAATGGAAATTACATATATGATTTGAATTGTTCTAAACATAAAATATAATTCAGTATCCATTTTCTTTTTCTTAATTATGAATATATGTGTGGGGGGGAGAGGGGAAGTGATATGCACACAAGTTATTACAGTCTCACACACAGGCCAGCAGAGGGCATTTGATCACCTGGAGCTGGAGTTACAGGTAGATGCTTATAAGGTGGGTATTACAAATGGGACTGGGGTTCTCTGGAAGAGCAATACACACTCCTAACTGCTAAGTCATATCTCTAGCTATAGTATCCCCTTTCACCATGAGATGACATGGACAAAATAGTCTATAACAACCCAAATGAGTAGTGTCTCCCTTGGGAATTGATGCTATGTCAGAACCTATACCAAAATGGTTCAAGGATGAAGGAATACAAAACCTTAAATCACCATTTAAGATGAAGTAGTCCAAACTACAGTAAAAATATCCCAGGATTAAGGAAACATTCTAGTAGGCAGAAAAATGGTAAGCAACTGAAAAGATTTAATTTGCTTATTTTTTCATACCTGCTAACTAGAGATTCTCTAAGTATGGCGTGGGACAATTTTACAAAGCTCAAATCAAAGTTTCTTAAATATGATCACTGTGCATATAACTTACACTGAATATGAAATTAGAACACCACAGGAAACAGGGAAGTTCAAGCAAAACATATTCAATTGGTTATAAGTTTAGGCTGTAAATGAGGTTTTAGAGGAAACTGAGAAGTTAATGTGATTCATTGAACAGCAAACATGTGATATACATGGTATGTTTGCCAGGGGGGGACCAGGAATAAATTGGGTACAACACCCATGATCTTGTTGTCAAGTAGGAGTGTTGTTTCCCACAAGTGGAAACTGTTCCCATCTTCCTCGAGTGTTTCAATTTATAGTTTGCACATAAAATTTAATTTTTTTGATCAGCCATACTCATATTTGCAGATTACTGACTGAACTACAAGTTAATTATCTACATAGGACTTTTCTACTAAGAAGCGTCTATATGATTTCTTTTTGTTTTGCTATGATAAAATACCACAATCAAAGGCAACTTACAGAAGACAGGGTTTATTTTGGCTCCCAACTAGAGGAGATAGAGTCCACTATAGCAGGGAAGGCATGGCATGGCGGCAGTAGCAGGAAGGTGGCTGATCACATTGACTATACAGGAATCTGAAGAAGAACAAGATAAAGGCAAGGTGGAAAACCCTCTAATCCTGTCCCGCAGAGATACACTTCTCCTGACAAGGCTACAAAACCTAAAGTTCCATGACTCTCCAAATATTGCCACCATATGGGATCCAAGTGTTCAAACATGTGAGCCTGTGGGGGACATTTATTAATCAAGCTACAACACCTCTCAACTCTTATTTATGTTTTTCATATATTGAAAGAGATGGAAAAGCAAAGAATTACATTGAATTTACCATTGTAGTTGGTCTCACTGAGAAAAATTCTCTTCCTAAAAATATGCAGTTGTGTTGGAAGTATCCCAACAACTATTCTGACATTCACAGAAATTATATCTTCTATATCAAGTATGGTGATCATGAAGATCTTGAAGAAAATTAAATTCCTGGTGTGTATTAAAAATTACAAGGATTCTTAAAAGCAGTAAAAAAATACCCTTCCTGAATTTGTAGATATTGAAATGTGGTGGGGAACCTGTAAATTCAGAATATCTGTGGAATTTTAAGTCATATCAGAAGAATAGTATGTTAGAGACATTACAACGTCCTGTTAAGAAGTATAAATGGAGCTTATGGTAGCATACCACTATCATTGATTTCATGGAAGAGCGTGTAGGCTCTCAAAAAGAGACTACTAAGAGCATCTTGAAACTGGCTGGTGATAAATGTGGTGTGTTACCATTGGGATCTTCAATGGCATTCCTGGTCACCACAAAAGTCCTATTGGAAAGCAGTGGAATTGTAAAGAGGAAGGGTGTTATGGAATATCATTTTAACTTGGCAAAATTGTATTACATTTGTTTATGCTGCCTTTGTTATTGATGTAAAAATGTGTTACATTTGTTTCACCTTACCTGCCTCAGGTACTTGATTGGTCTAATAAAAAGCTGAACTGATAATAACTAGGCAGGAGAGGGATAATGGGACTGGTGGGCAGTGAGAATAATTAAGAGAACAAGAAAGAGAGTAAAATGGCGGAGAAATCAAGGACCATGCCTGGGGCCAGAAGCCAGGCAGCTACCAGCTGGCCAGCAACAAGAAGTAGTAAAAGTAGGACATACAGAAAGAAAGAAAGGTAAAAAGCACCAACGCAAAATGTAGATAAAGAGAAAAGGATTAAAATAAGAGCTAAGATAAGGCTGAGCAGCCGGGCGGTGGTGGCGCACACCTTTAATCCCAGCACTCGGGAGGCAGAGGCAGGCGGATATCTGTGAGTTCGAGGCCGGGCTGGACCGACAGTCTCCAAAACAATACAGAGAAACCCTGTCTCGTAAAACCAAAAAAAAAAAAAAAAAAGATAAGGCTGAGCATTTATAACTAATAATAAGTCTCCATGTCATGATTTGGGAGCTAGTGAGTGGCGCTTCAAAAAGAAAGCCTGGTAGAGAATAGCCTCATGGAGATTTTTTAGGTCATTGGAGGTGTGCCCTCAAAGGAAATGCGGGTCCCTTACCCCTTCTACCTCATCTTTTTCACTTTTTCTTCACAGGGTGAACAGATTTGCTTATCGTGTGTTCCTTCCACAATGTGGTACTGCACCCGACTCTCCAATCAATGGTCCCAGTGGTCATTTGACTGTACCCCCAAAACTCTGGACCAAAGTAAACACTTTTATGTGAGTTTACCAGATTGTTTGGATTTTCCATCAGTGTGACAGATTAACTGAGAAAATCAACTAGAACAAGGAAAATTTTAATTCAGTTTGTTAGTACTAAGGTTTAACCTAAAGTCCATTAACACCTGTTTGTTTTGGGCAAGGCAGAAGTGAGGCAGAATGCCATATGGCTGAGAACAGGAGGTTGCCCGCTTCATGGTGTCAGGAAGCACGGAAAGATGCAGGAAGGTACCTAGCACAGGATGTGTTTTTCAAGGACTCATCCAATGTTTCTTGATTCTTCCAGAAAAGTCATATCTCTTAATAATACACATATGTTTATGGAAGCCCTTCTCCGTGATACCACTAGCTGGATACTTGACAATAAAAACAGGTAGAATTCTGTATCCAAATAATAATACTCAGGTATGCATTATGGGCAATGGGAAGGCTGAGTAACCACTAGTCTTTCCAATGTAATATGCCTCAGTTCTTACAAAAGATACAAGATTTCTCATCTAAACAGGTATTGTGGGGTTGTGGTGGTAGACCCATTATAGGATTAAACAAAGATGATTTTCGTAATATAAGAAAAAGAGAGTTCTGAGATGTGCTCTGTAATTAGAACAAAGAGTTGGGAGATATTTGAATATGTTTCTTTTAATATAAATTTTTATCTAAATTAGAAATAATCTTATTTTACATATCAGTCTCACTTCCCTCTCCCACTCTCCCATTCTCCCATGCCCCCACCTGCCCCCCCATCCCACCCCACATCCACTCCCCAGGGAGGGTGAGGCCTTCCATGGGGGAATCATCAAAGTCTGTCACGTCATTTTGGTCAGGGCCTATGCCCTCCTCAATATACATATTGAGAGAATATAATTCAGCTTATGCTGGGTCAGGTAATACATAACTAGAAAGTAATGCTGGAGCTAGAAGAATAGACAAGTTCAGAACACTGGTCCATCATTAGACTGTCCAGAGGTACTGATGTGGAACTCCAGTTAGAAGCTAGCACTGACAGTATGTGCTTCTAAGTCATTAGCAGGAAAGTGCCAGATAACACCAGGGACTCAGAGAAGAGCAGATGGTAGAGGGAACAACTTTGGAATTAATCCAACAAATATTTATTCAACTTGTGCATGTATAAGGAAATCAACAAAGTGAAGAGACTAGGTGAAGTGCATTTTTCTCATGAGGAATGTGGCTGATGTATCAGTGGAGGGAGATAGACCAGACAATTTATTCAGGAGAAGATGTGGAGACACGTAAAGAAGACAGCCTTCGAAAGAATGAATGATTAAAGGGTGAAAGTCAAAGACAAGTACAGCTGTTCATGAGATTTTATATTGATTCTCAACTTGACAGGATCTAAGGAGAAAAGAGTCTGGGTGTGTCTGAAGGGGAGTTTCTAGACTGAGCTACCTGAGTTTGGAAGACAACTTCTGAATGGGGGTATCACCATTTTATATGTTAGAGTTTAGGGTGCATACTGATCTCTCCAACTCAATTTGTAGCCCTTATTTGCTTGTATCTGCACATGCTCTGCTGATTCCAGTATTCAGGTGACATCAACACTTGTAGTACCCATAGTGAATGCTCTGTGTTCTTCCCTGTTCACAACTCATCTGATTGATTCAGCAAGTCTGGCCTTCCAGGGAATGATAGGACCACATTTCTGTATTTTCTCCTAGGACCTAATTCTCATTTGCAGAATCTTGTATACTTTGGAGAAATAATGAGTGGTATGGTAATAGATAAGTGTCTACAATCTGCCTAGGATGTATGATCTGGAACTGTCTGTGCCCCAGGTTGCTTGGTTCATAACTTCAGAGAAGTTGGCCAGTCTATGCATTTTGCAACCGAGATTAAATGGTACAAGCTGATACTCAATAAAGGATTGTTGGATAGATGAATGAAAACATAAGAGCAAGGGATAGAGAAGTGACAAGGGATAAAGAAGCCAGTTTGGACAGTCAGTGAACTTCAGCTATAATAAGAGACCGTGTTTTAAAGAATAAGAGAAAATGACTGAGAAAGACACTCTACATTGGCCTCTATGGACATGTTTACACAATTGTACATGCACCTACAAACATACAAAAATGTACACACACACAAACAATAAAGATAACTTCTCATAAAAATATAAGTGCACAAATGATCTAAGAGCAGCTCACTGTAATATAATATTCTATCAAATAATTGACCTTATATGATCATATCATTGTAAAAAGAGATTACACCTTAGAAGCAAGTAAATGTGGGTCAAATTTTGGTCTTACCTTGCATTCATTATATGACTTTGGTTAAGTCAGGTATATATCCTGAGCCTAAAATTCCATTTCTATAGCAGTCGACATTATCAAGTATGTTGTCTTTGTGGGAGTGTTAACAGGTGGAAACTCATTAGAGATCAGGACAATTTTCAGAAAATAGTACTTTGGTTTTTGGTTCCTCTTCCTTTCATAGAATAGCATTTCTTTCAGCATATTCCTTCCTCTATATGTTCTGCTTTCTGGTATCATTTTTCCTTTAAGTCACTTTACTTCCAATTTTATGTCTCTGTGACACTATCACAGTCCCAAAATGGCTCTCAAAAACTATCATTTATAAAACATAATTTAGTCTGTGACTTTATCTTCTTGATAAGTGTTGTCTCCACAGAATATGCATGAATAAACTTCTGGATCACTTATTTAAGCATATTAATACATTTATAGTGAGTCGTTGATTCTGGAATGGCTGGAACAAAAGAAGTGGACCATGAAAATCAAAGCATAATTACAGTTTGGAAAGCAATCCTAAATGAAGTGTTTTCAAACCCATGTGCTTCAGGGAGTACAGGGAAAGCAGATGTGATCTCAAGTTTGAGACAAGAGAATCATCCATCATTAAAAATGAACACTATAGCCCTGATGAGATGACATAGTCAGTAAGAGGATTTGTTGCCCTTGTAGAGGATCTGAACTTAGTTCCTAGCACCCACATTGAGAAACTCACCACTCAGTGCCCCTCCTGGATTATATTGGTACATACTACCATGCCTACAAACAACAGACACATAATTTAAAGGATTTAAAAATTGTAGTAAAGTATCTCTTGGCCATTTTAGCCTCCTCTATTGAGAATTCTCTGTTTAGTTCTGTACCCCACCTTCTAATTGGACCCTTTGGTGTTTTGGAGACTTGCTTCTTGAGTTCTTTGTATATTTTGGAGATTAGCCCTTTGTCAGCTGTGGGGTTAGTGAATATCTTTTCCCATTCTGTGGACTGCCTTTTTTGTCTTGTTGACTGTGTCCTTTGCCTTACAGAAGCTTTTTAGTTTCATGAGGTCCATTTGTTAATTGTCGATCTCAGAGTCTGTGCCACTGGTGTTATGTTCAA